CTAATTCTCTCATCTGCCTAATTTATCCTAATAGTTAGACCCTCCATTTTTGATTGTACCTCATTAATAGCCTTTTTTATTTCAACTTGGTTAGATTTTAGTTCTTTTATTTCTCCAGAAAGTGATTCTCTAGTATCTTCTATGCTTTTCTTAAGCCCAGCTAGTATCTTTATAATCGTCATTCTGAACTCTATTTCTGACACCTTGCTAATGTCCGTATTGATTAGGTCCCTTGCAGTCGGTACTGCCTCTTGGTTTTTTGTTTTTGTTTATGTTTTTGTTTTTTTTTTGAGGTGAGTTTTTCTGTCTTGTCATTTTGTCCAGAGAATAGATGAGTGAGAGAACAAAATGCTAACAGGGTAACAACGACCCCAGAAAAATATACACTTCCAAAAAGTGGTCACTTTGCTGTTCATAGAGTTGCTGCTATTCTTTTCTTCAATCTCCTGTTGAGTTTGTAGGTGTTCATAATGGTTTGATAACTATCTGGCTGAATTCCTGGGACCAGACGAAATTTAGGTTTCCTACTCCTCTGCCATCTCGCTCCTTCCTTCTTTCTTTAAAAGGAAATTCTTCTCCCTTTCTTGCATGGGAATCCTATTTCATACCTTCCAGCATAACTATATATTTTTCTTAGATTACCATGTGTATTTGTTCTTGGAATATTATTATCCCAAAATCACAATTATAACATTTTAAAATTAAATATTGTAAAATACTTGCACTCTCATCATTTAAATTGTTCAAGTAGTTCTCAACCTTGTTTACACACTAAAGCCACTTAGGGAGACTGCAAAACCTCACTAGCATCAGGCTATACCCACAACAATTAAAGCAGAATTGGGGTCAGAAACAGGCAACCACAGTTTTTAAACTCTTCATGTGATTGCAGTGTGCAACCAAGGTTGAAAACCACTATGTTAAAAAGCATCAGTTTTTACCTGCCAGAAGCTATAGGAATGGCTGCCACCTCATTCTGCTGACTTTCTGCTCAGTGCTATTTTGAGGAGCTTGTGATTCCATTAGCTTAGAGCAGGGGTTGGCAAACAGCCTGTTTTGGTATGGCCTGCAAGCTAAGAATGGTATTGACGTATTTGAATGGTTTTCAACCAAAATCAAAAGAAAAATAATATTTCCTGACACATGAAAAATATTTGAAATTGACATGTACATGTCCACACATAAAATCTTATTGGAACAGAGCCATGCCATGTCTATGGCAGCTTTTGGTCAACAATAGCAGATTTGAATAGCTCCATCAGAGACTTGAAAGGCTTGCAAAGCCTCAAATATTTATGATCTGGCCCTTTTCAGGAAAAGATTGTTGAGCTCTGGCTTAGAGCAAGTGTCCCTAAAGCAAGTGCACAGTAACTCTAGTAAATGGCTGGAGGTCCCTTTGCCTAACCCCAAGAAGAAAATTTACTGTAATTACTTGTGACTTCATTGTAGGGTCTTTCCTCAGTAGTCCATTTGCTCATAGTGTTTATTTTTACACTGATCAAATGCAACTTTAGAGGATGCTCAAATATTTCAAGATCCAAAGGATCTGTTGAACAAATAGCCACCTTCAAATGTTGCTGTAGGTCGAACCAACCATGTGTGTCAAATCAGTGTCCACCTTGACCCAGGAGCTTAAAGTGCTTCTACTTGGCCTGTGACTCCAGGATCCCATCATCCTCACTGAAATGAGGGTGACTATGTCAAGGGTAGGACCTCTCAATCATCTGTGGCCTGCACAACTCAGCCACTTCAGGACACTTCAAAGATGTAGATGCCCTCCTCAACAATATGTTTCTCAATGCTGTGGGGAAAGGCATGTCCTCTGAGTCCCTAAAAGCAGCTGCTTGGTCCACTGACACATTGATTTCAAAGGCATTTCAATTCAAGTGACCATAGGTGATAACTTTGGCAACTGTTTCACCATCATGTACCATGGAATACCAATATTTCATCTTCTAATGTCAATTGGATCCTCACTATCTTCAGATCCACCTAGGTCAGATAACCCATCCCAGATCCCCATTTCTTTCAGGGCCCTTTGCTTGCAACCCATTTTGGTGTCAAGTACTCTATTAATCAAGTTTCCCGCTTGCCTGCACCAGAATTCATTCTAGCTATTTTATAAAAATGAGATATATTTAATAAAATATATTGCATGGCTTACAAAAACTCTATGAGGGCCAGAAAAGCAGGCTTGTCTGCCGTACAGTCAGGGGAAGCCCACTCATGCTGTAGGACTGTCACAGCTGAAACACCACATTGCTTGCCTGCTAATTGACATGTATGACAGAGACTGAATTCTAGACACTCTGCTACAGTTGCTTTGCAAAAAACAGAGACCTCTCCCATCATATATAGCTGACCATGTCAATGAGCCATATGTAGCTCCTATGTCATTCAGCTACACCTCCAAGTCTTAGGATGATGCATATGCATGATACAACTGAGATCCCATTTAGAACCCTAGCTGTAAGGGGCTCTGGTTAATGTGTATGTGTGTGTGTGTGCGCGCACACACGTTTCCCTTCATGCTTTTAGTTTTCTAGTCTCTATAGAATAGGAAGGCCTATAAGAGCGTTTATGAGTGTTGGAATAGTTGCCAAGGAGCCAATTCATAGTTTGGCAGAACGTTATAAATTTTGCTATGGTAAATGGTCTATTCAGAATGAAAATGGCATTTTCTATTTGTTACAGTTATCTTGTGTATATTAGTCTTACACCCAACTAACTTATTAATCTCTATTATTTTAATTTTCTATAGCTTCTCTTGAATTTACATGATGATAACCATACTGTAGTGACAGCTTTGTTTATTTTCACTTGTACACATTTATTAATGTATGTATATATGCATACATGCATGTATTTTGGCTTACTGTACTGCCTAGGAGATGCAGTGTGATGCTGAAAAGAAGCAGTCATATGAGTTATCTTTGTCTCTGTTTTATCCTTGACTATAATGGGCATTCAAATATCCAATACATTCTTTTGTTTGGAAGAGACCTGTAGCTCATCAATGCTGGTGTTTTCAACCAAGGCTGTCATGTCTATTCAATCCCTCTGTTGGAACATCAGGTGAATGAGGAAGAGGGAATTGCAGCATTGAAGTAATGGCATCTCTATTATAAATATATATGAACTTCATTTAAAAGGATAGCATGCAAAGTAGAAAAGAGTATGGAAAGAACATTGACTTTGAAAACATACCTCTCTGGATTCAAATCATGGCTCTGTCACTTATTGCTTATGTGATTTTATGCATGTGCTCAATCTCTCTGAGTTTCAGTTCCATCATGGAATATTTGGTGGTGGTGTTTGCCAAGTGTTTCCATTTCTGTCCTGTTCCAGGCACCTGGTAAAACTGTACTTCTTGTCTGAACATCTTTGTTTAGGTGAGGCAGTGTATGTGATTAGCTCTGGCTAATGGGCTGGGAATGACATGTGTTATTTCTGGGCCAGAATGTATGGTTGTTGGTTTGAAACCACCCAGGGCCCTCTTCTTCTCAGGCACAGTGACTGACAACGTTCTAGATGGTGACTGATCTGTCAGTTTGAGTGGCCAAGTCATTCCAAAAAGAATCGTCAGACTCCCAACATCCACCAGCCTGTGGTGGACATGCACCTGCCATGGACATCTAGTAGGAGTGAGGAATAAGCCACTGTTTTGGGGATTGTCTATTACCATGGCAAAACTCCAGCCTCTCCTGACTCACATATCTCATCTGTTAATTAAAATAACACCCTGTCAGGACTTTTCTGAGGGGTAAATGAGTTAATGTATATAACAAGATTATTACTGTGCTTGACATATAATAGGGACTCAAAACATGGCAGCTATAATTATTAAATAATAGTAAAACTTTTTTTAAAGTGTGGCATGTTTGTATAAAATGAGAGGTGTTGTGTCTGCTGATCTTAACAGCTAAGTTGTATATTGCTTTCTAGAGGGGGCACTATATTTGTTGATAAGACTTCCTAATGATTTGTACTTACTTACTTATTTTTTCTTTAGCCACTATGCTATCAGAAACATGCTTAGAAACTGGGGTTATTTCTGAGGAATAAAAAAGTGAAAAGATTTAAACAGGAGAGAGACTGACCAGTGAGATAAGACTAAATGAATTAAAAATCTGTAAATAATTTCTTAATGAGAAGAATAGATTATAATTATTATGAATGTACATTCCATTGCTCTTAGTAAACAAAGGCACAGGTTTTAAAGTGGTAGAAGATTTAGTTTGGACAGGGTTTCCAAAACATTTTATGAAGAACACTAGTACCTCAGATACCCTGTGGAAAAATGTTCCATTCCCAACAAGTTAGGGAAAATATCCCCCACTTTGAGATTCTTATTTCATATTACCATATTATCTTTAAAAAAAAAGTCTGGGGCACCTGGGTGGCTCAGTTGGTTGTGTCTGCCTTGGGCTCAGATCATGATCCCAGGGTCCTAGGATGGAGCCCTGCATCTGGCTGCCTGCTCAGTGGGGAGTCTTCTCCCTCTCCCCCTGCCCCCCACCTCCACTTGCACACTCTCTCTCCCTCAAATAAATAAAATCTTAAAAAAGGAAAAAATAATAAAAAAAATTTTTAAGTCCTACAGTGTGGAAATTCACTTACCATACAGTCCCACACTGTATGCCCCACACTTCCATAAAGTAGGGCACATTTTTTGTTTTTGCTGTTTCTTTGCCCTACTGTTTTGCAGAACTTGGAAATGCTGTAATGAGAGAAAAAGAAAGTGGATTATTTAAGCTACATGTAATATAAACTATCACGAGTGACAATATCCTTGAGTCACGTGTCAAGAAGTATTTAAATATCCCATAAACATAAACACAATCTTATTATTTATCCCATTTTACTCATTCAATATCATGATGTACCAAATGTATCACTGATGATTTCACCTGATGTTTTCTTAAATCAATTCACTATTATTTTTTGAGTGAGGGAAAGAAGGGGGTTTTCAACAAAGAATCTAAGAAGCAAAGGTTAGAAAATTGGGAGGAGTGGGGACACCAGAAATTATTTGTGTCTGGCTGAACTATTTTAAGCCATTTAGAGATCCTAAGCCCAAAAAGATTGTCACCCCACTTCCAGATGTACTTTGTAGAACTACTTCAAACTAAATATAAGAAATAAAGTCCAAATCTTTACATCATGTCTACTTTGACACTTTTCTGAAACAACACATTCTTGAAAATAAACTCTCTTCTTCCCTCCTTCCATTTTTCTCCTCCTACCCCCCTCCTCCCTTTTCCATCTCCCTCTACTTCTGCTTTGCTACTTCCCTGAGCACATGTGTATGATTGCTGGGAAAATATATCAAAGGAATAAAGAGAATCTTACAAAATCAAATAAGAGGAAGAAATTAAGATGAAATTTGGAGTCCTCTAGACAAATTGGCATCTGGGAGGTCTTTGTTGTCTTCAATAACAACATGGTCAGAGGACAGCAGAGGAGGCTGTCACACCGCACAGACAATGAATACAGCAGGCTGATAAGCAAGGGAAGGGCTTTAGTGTGAGGAGGGAAGGGGGATCCCACACAGCTTCCAGAGCCCTGCTGCTGAGAGATGGCAGAAAAGTCCATGAATCCTTGCCCTTGCTGCCCCGTCTCTGCCACTCCACTCTTTGATGCAGGACATTCTCCTCCTTCACTTCACTCTCTACAGACAATAGCTTCCCTGAGTCCAGGATCAGGTTTCACACACCCACAGACTTTCTCTGCCAGGCATACAAAAGTTAGGCCACACTCGGAATTCCTCCCCCAACCTCCACCCAACCCTTTCTCAGGCCCTCTGTCATTTGGCCAGGCCTTGATCTGTGGGTGCTTGGCTGTCTCCTCTCCCACCAGCTCGCTGAATAAGCTTTTAGTACCTGCTGGCACTCCTCCTACCCAAGTACTACCCACTAAGGCAGGATATAAAAGTTAATGGAAAGGTTGGGATCTGAGCCAGAGTCTCATCAAAGTCCCCTCTGAGCCAAGATGCAGACCACAGGTCTAAAGGTCCTTTGAACCTATCACGCTGACTGCTTGCAAGGCTAAGCCAAGCAACAGTTCAGGAGACTCCACACACACTTAAAGGGCAGAGCTTTGTGCATGATCCTAGCGGAGTCACATGACCCCAGGGACCACCTGACCCACCACACAGTTCAGGGGCCCTCAATCTTCACATGACCATATCTGGGAGCATGACCATAGGATCCGCATGGCCAATAGTGATAAGGTAGCTGCACTTCTCACATGACTGCAAGAGCTTTGTCTGCTACATGTGGTAAGAACCACACTGTTGCCTACACATGGATTTGCAGAGTTTAATAGCCCACAATCTTCACATGACAGAGGTGGCTAAGCTTGACATGTACCATGGCAGGGGGAAGGGTACATGACCATAGCATCTACATGACCCTAAGCAGTAGATCACCTATATGATATCAAGGGCTGAAGCTTTCACATGCTGGTATCCAGTAAGGGTTACAAGGGTTACATCCTAACATAGGATCCATGTTAGGCAGGGTTTAGGAGTCCATGATGCTCTAGTGGTTTGAAGAGCTGGATCTACCACGTGACCATAGTGGCAACAGGGCCAAAGAGACCACATGACCTTTTGGTTTTAAGAGCCCATGGTGCTGACATGACAGGTACAGCTGGGCCTGCCACATAACTGTTGTCCACAAGATGGCATCATCCACGTGACCAGCAGCCTTAGGAACCCACAGTGCTCATGTGCCTGGGAGGGCCTCAGTAGGGTCCCGTGACAGTAGGGTTCTCCTGATCTTCATGTTTCAGGAGAATATTATCTTCAGGAGACCTGAAGACCTGAGATTGCCCACATTCCTGGTCTCCTCTGTGATGTTGGTGCCTCCAGGTGACCTTCCGCAGCACACAAGCTTGGGCTTTGCCTACTCCCATCGCTCTTTAATGTGTTAATTTTATATGCTTTTTCCCCAATACCACATGAAATTTAATAGATAACAAATTAATACATAACAATAAAATAAGTCCTCCCAAAAACCATAATTGTGGGCACACTGTAGATACTACTGTAAGAACCTAAGCAGTAGGTACAAGTAAGTGTTGGTGACTTAAATTTCATGCAGGTCTAAAGGAGATTAAAACAAATCTAATGAGTTTTAGTTGTTCATGTGGGGGGAATAAAAAGGTGTATAGTGATTACTATGGTCCATGCATGTTAAAGCGATAACTCATTTAAGAGAGGTAACTCTGTAGAGGAGGTACTGTTACAGAACTTTACAGATGAGGAAGCTGAAGTACTGAGGTATATAAATCACTTGCTTCAGAGGTCACAGATACTGTAGGTGGCAAACCAAGTATTGTCCACAAGCAGTCTTGCTCCAGACTCTGTGTTCTGGTCACCCATCAGGTTCCTCAACAGAAAGTAATATTAGTTCAGCCTTACTAAATTGCAAAATCTGGAAAACCAGCCCCAGTTACTAAAAAGTTGAGATCGTGGGAGATTTCTTTGAAATGCCACCTAAATAATTTCAAGTACTATCAGTAATTAGACCCAGTCAAATTTGAGTCTACTTAATAGCCTCTAATTAAGGTTTATGTATAGATATAAACCTATTTCTAATGTGTGAAATATGTATATATAAGAGTAGCATATAAAATGCTTGATGTTAGTTAAAAACATTTCCCTCTTTTAAATAAACACTGAAAAGGGAACTATGGTAAAGTTTAAACATCATACCTGCCCCCTTGCCTGAATTACAGCAGTTACAAATGAGGGGAATCTGAATTCATTAGATTTTACTGTATTTATATTCTGTCTGCGCCTCCCCAGAAAAGATAAAGAAGGAAAATATATACTATAGGATATATTTTTTAACTGCAATTCCACAAACACCTCTTTGATTTGTGTGAGAAACTGCAGCTTCATTTGTATGCCTGAAATAAATTCGATCTGATATTTCTGGTTTGCTGATTTAGGCAAACAATGCTATACCTGTGTTGGGATTATTTTTCTAGGTCCCTGAAGTGTGGCATGGCTACATAAATAAGTTAAAGAAAAGGCAACAGACCAAATTTTCCACAGTGGTTAAAGTTGAGGAATTTAGTAAAGACAAGAGACTGTGCTTGTGGTTCTTCCTTCTCCTGAAGGAAGTCATAATGTTGGAAGGAAAAATAGTAAGAGAAGGTAGTGTTTGTGAAGTCATAAACAAACATAATTTGAAACTATCTAATCCAAAGAGAAAAAGGGAAAAAAAAAGAATGAAAAAGAGTGATGAAGGCCTATGGGATTTTTTGGAATCATTAAATGGACCCATATATGCCTGACAGGTGGCCAAGAAAGAGAAGAGAGAAAGAGAAAAAATCAAAAATCTTATTTACAGAAATAACATTTGGAAACTTTCCAAATCCTTGAGGGATATAAACATCCAAGTTCACCAAGCTCAGAAGTCTCTAAACAGTATCATCCCATGGAGGGGTACACCAAGACTATAATAAAAATATCAAAAGTCAAAGACAAGTAGAAAATTGTGAAAACAGGAAAGCCACCAGTGACATACAAGGGAACAGGGTAAGACAAACAGATAGCAAAAAGATACTGGTTAGCAACATGAAAACATACCAAAGTATAAAACTCACATGTAAAAGTAAGTATATAGTCAGACGTGGAACACTCAACACTATAATAGTATAAGAGAAAATATATTAAATATATGTACAGTTGTAATAATTTGTTAATGGACACACAATATAAAAAGACATAAACTGTGACATCAATAATGTAAGTAAGAAGCAAGCTTAAAGTTTTTTATACAATCAAAGATAAGTTATCAGATTAAGATGAATGTTATAAGATATTTTATAAAACCATTTTGGTAACCACAAAACAAAAATCTATAATAGCTATGCAAAAGATGAAGCTAAGGAATCAAAGCATAGCACTATTTAAAAAATCATCAAATCACAAGAGAAAAGGGCAAGAAAAGAAGAAAGAAACAAAGGAACTACAAAACAGAAGAGAAAAATGGCAACAGTAATTCTTTACTTATCAAGAATTGTTTTCTATAAAAATGGATTATATCTCCATCAAAAGACATAGAGGGGCTGAATGGATTTTTAAAAGAGTCAAATATATGCTGCCCAAAAAAGTCTCACTTTAGCTTAAAGGACACATACAGACTGAATATCAAGGGATAGAAAAAAAAGGTAACCAAAAGAAAGCAGGAGTGGCCATACTTATACAAAATAGACTTTCATTCAAAAAGTGTTGCAAGCCTCAAGAAATTATTAGGTAATGAATGATAAACAGGTCAATTCACCAAAAGGATATAACAATTGTATTTTCATATATATATGTGTTGTTAAATGGTTAATGATTACTATAATCAAGCTAATTAGCATTTTCATCACCTTACATAGTTACCTTTCTTTTTGTGATAGGACACTTAGATCTACTCTTTTAGCAAATTTCAAAAAACAGTAGAGTATTATGAAGTACAGTTACCATGCTGTACATCAGATCTCCAGAACTTATTCATCCTGTGTAACCGAAACTTTGTATCCTTTGACCAACTTCTTCTAATTTTCCCCATCCCCCATCCCCTGGTAAATCCTGTTCTACTCCAGCTTCTATGAATTCAACTTTACTGGATTTTTTCTTTCAGATTTCACATGTAGAAGATATCATATAGGATTCATCTTTGTGGGTCTGGCTTATTCCACTTAGCATAGTGTCCTCCC